TCATCAAAATCCGACCAGTACTTTCCAAGTTACAGTCGGGCTAAGAATTAGCGGGCAGACAGACAGACTGACAGGCAGACCGATGGAAGTGGGTGACATGGTTTTCCGTGATCTACATGTCATATAACATCAACTAAACATAATATCTCGTTACCGATTAGGCGTGTGGAATTAAAAATGTTCCGTTTAAGTTTCTTCTCAGATAAAAAAGTTATGAAGAGCTGAAACTATATCGTTCATTTTGGCCACCCTGTACAACTGCGTAGGAAATACGGAGTCAATCTACTAGACTCCATATATTTCTCCACACGACACGGTTCATTCTATTACAGATACATTTCAATGACACTTGTCGGACCAAAAAGTGAATGTGATTTTCTAATCTGATCTTGGCATCTATTTTTTTCGAAAAGCCGCTCGAGGGCTCAACCCCGCCTACCATAGTGGAGACATTCTTTTAATAATACTTTGTACTTTATTAATTATTGCTAGCACACACCCAAATATCACACAGTACGCACACGAGGCTATGGTGTTATTGTGAACAATACACAGGCTGACCAATCTAGGTGGTACAAGTCTACTGAAACCGATAGTACCGGTTCGAATAACGGGATCGATGAAAAAACGATTTTGAGGTGATACTTTCGTTTGATCAAAATTCATAAAAATCTTTATACAGTGCTTTTAGAAAACCCACCCCCCACTTTCTACTTGCTACGCCACAAGTATTGTAGACGCGAAAATTTGGAAAATAAAATTATTTATCAAGACTTGAACAACCATCTCTCATTTCCGTCGATTTGTCTGTCTGTCTGCCAGACGCTAAACCTTGGCCCGTCTAAAACTTTTTTTTTGACAGCGGAAAGCTTTTATACCCTCTCTCAGGCAGAAAAACTCGACAGTATTGCACTGCAGGCCCTCCCTACCCGAAATGTAAGATTCGTCAGAAATAGTATGCTCACTAAAGCCCCTTAGTCATTCGCCACTGACACATCCCACCAGGGTAATGATTGCAGCATTTCTTCATAGTGGGTAGCGTTGCGCTAGGTTCTCATATCAAAGGTATTCGTCATACGTTCTCTATCGTACACATACATACTTTTATACCTATGTAGATATACAACCGAGCAAAATAGAAACCTACTATTTGTTGCTTGATATATTTTTGTTCTCCCGTACCTTTCTCAGAACCAGGGCCTCACTACGGGTTGAATATCAACCCATTTTCCTTCGCGTACATGCGTGGCAAAATTGTCAGCAGTGAGTCTGTAGCCAAGAGTCAGTTCCAGCTGTGTCTGGTAGTCAACCCACCTACCACATTGGAGTAGGTGATTAGGAGTATCCTGCTGTTCATTGTATTATACGCAATTACCGTACTCTCTCTTTCCTAACCTCTCAAAACAGCCATGTTCCGTTCGCAAGCTTCATTCATTACAGACAGCACGATTTTGGGTATCTCTTTAACCAGCGCTTCCACAATTTCATTTGGTATTTCATCTAGTACTGGTGCCATACCTGCTTTTACTCGTAAGTGCGTTACAACTTAATCCGGCTCACTCATGGGAACTCTGGTACGTCCAGAGTTTAATCAAATTTCCATTCGGTGCGTGCGTACTTGCATGCAATTTTATTTGCTGTCCAGTATCCGGATACGATCTGTCGATGAGTTTTAGCTTTTTCATGGCTATCTTGTATGCTTGACCCCATTTTGAGTCATTTAATAAGGCTTTCCACATCCTCTGTTTAGAGTTATGCGTGAGCTTTTCTAGTGCTTTTTTAGCATATTGACGTTTTTTTGTACTCGAGCATCAGAATGTTATTCCTTGTTTCGTTTGCTCTATAGTCCTTTCTATTTTATCTTGTTATTCTACGTCTACAACTTAGAAAGTACCGCTTGGATTTTGATGAAAATTTCACACAAGCTTCTCAGTGTAACGGTTCTACCGCTACACTGAGAAAAAAGTTCAACTAAACTATTTAAAAAAATTAATTAACTATGTGACTAACAAGTTCAAACGCAATCGCCTAATCAAATTCATGAAACCGTTTACTTGAATTAAGAACACCAATTTACTTAAAATTATTAAGCAAGGAAAATGAGTTTACCTGTAGCAAGCAACATAATTCAATTATATTTATCAAATTTGTTTAATTAGTTTAGGTAAAAGTATTTGCCTAGTCAAATCAATTATTTTATTTAGACGTACAGACATAGAAGTACGAGTGGATACATTTGGGTAATATTTGAAATTTTAAAGAACAAATTGCATTTTATTGAATGGTGTATCATGATAATTGTGGTGTGCTTAATCTATACATAAAGGGTGCGCCATCTGTTGTTTTAATTTTCGTATACCAGTCGCGGAGGGAGCTTCATTACGACCAAATTAATAGTCCTCTTAATTTTCGCAAAGTTTCTGCAACACAGCACTCACTTTGAAAATAGTTTTTCAATATTTTCCACTCTTGTTCAAGATTAAAACGATCCATTGCTCACAGCGGAAGTTTGGCACAATATATCTGTCATTATGTTGAGCATGGAAGCGTTACCAGCTGTCAAAATAATACCAACTAAAAAAAAAACCAACTGAAGGCCCACCCTATATGTAACTCGTCTGAGCAAGTCATTATTGGCTTCTTACATAACGTCCTTTGGCGTGACGCGCTACAGGTTATGAAACTGCACCCCAAATAAGCCCTGACCTCTAATATCTTTTTCTATTGTATTTTGTGAAAAAAAAGATAATAAAACAAGAATAACAGCTTATGGCCAGTTGCACCTATACTATTTTACCCTAGTTTAGACGGAAACTTAGTTTGATTTGAAGATTCCTATTACTTAAGTACCGTTGAAAATTTTGTTTAACTTAAACGTTCAACTTTTGGAGGTTAAGTCTAATACACTTTTAATTTTCAATAATAGATTTTATTGGTCATGATGATATTTTAAACGAATATTTGGGTATCCTTGAACCAATGAATAGTTGTTTTCTAGTAGAACTATTCAAATACCAAAAACAAAAACTATTTCCAAGAGATAAGTAACTATTATGCCTAAAACTGAGACTGAACTGGAATTTCCCAATAATTTGTGAGATATCTTCTATCTTAATTAGAAAAAAAATGTCCTAGATTTCTGTAGGCTAACAAAGCTTAAATCCATGTTGCTGCAAGAAGGTACCCTAATAAACATAATTGAACACTCTGATATTATATGACATAAATAACAATTTTTCAACATTTTCCCTGGTAAATTTGACCTTTGATCTGAATAAATCTTCCCGAAGGCGCCTGAAAACTTACGAAGATAGTTTCGGTTTCGGTGGCAATTTCGGCAGAAACTCTGATTTTGGACCGAAACTGAAACCGAAAGTTCGATCGGACACTACTAGGTATGACATGTACTATTTTTCTTCACATATGACGGAAGCCTAACTTCCATAGCAAAAGTAGAGTCACATTCTAAGTAAAGGGCATGAAGAACTTATTACGCTATGCTAGAACTTTATAAATTTTGGAAGTTGGAGAGCTAAGTTATGCTACTCCTTGTTAATACAAGAAAAGTAAAAATGTTCAGGTTTTAGAAGGCAAAATATTGGTTTTATCGATTTTTTTTTGAAATTAGGACTAAACTTGATAAACCTACCTTGTTTCTAGGAACAGTCTGTAGGAAGGCGTTTGCCCTAGTTCTACTCACCTTAGGCAAGTGGAAAAACAGTTGAACAAAGTGTATACCGGGTGTTTCAATTTCGAAACTTACCATTGGAATCTCTGGGCAAAGTTGCGCATTTAGGTAACCAAGAAAATGCACGTAATTCCGAGTATTACCGGAGATAGAATAAAGAGACCGAATGTTCTCAACATCGTTTTTATGTTTTCTGACTTTATTTGGGATTGAATTTCAAAATAAAAGATATATTAACGTTGCCGCTTTTTCTCCTTGTTTCTTGTCTTCAATCATGAAATTCATTTTTTCTAATAGACGCCATATTAGATTTTAGTTCTGACTCTAAAGATGTATAGATGTCATTCATTGCCAAACCTCAGTTATTTGAAAAATCAGAAGTGGACATTGAAATAATCAGATAGTCATTTGTGTTATATCATCAGTAAGTATCCTCCCATCCTCATATGTCTAGAGAAGTAATCTTTCTGAAGTTGGTTTTAACTCATCGAATAATGAAGAACCTAATGTTAAAGCTTTTTTATATTATTTAAGGGTCGTATTGGAAACATTATTATATGTGACTAATGGAATTATTTTGGAGTACATGAAAGCTTGTACGATGTAGCAGCTTCCTAAACACTTTTTAGATCTGCCATATCTACACCAATGCACATATTTTGCATTCAAATACTATTAATTTACGGCTGAGGTGCCATGTGAAATTACGCTTGTTATAGAAAATAAATGGGCAAATTATCTGAATGTCCTCTAAAACACGTTTCTCAAAAACTGCAGCATTGGTGATTTCCTCGAATAAATATGTGATAAGTTGTCACTTTCAAGGCCAGCAGTGAGAATATTAACTTGTTTGATCAAATCAACGTATGATATATTATATAATTAAAAAATATATTCACGAAACGTCATATTGAAGTTCTAAATACGCCATTTTATAGAGGAGAAAAAGTGGCAACAGCAATGTACTTTTTATTTTGAAAAATAGAAACGATTTTGTGAAAATCCGGTTCCTTTCGTCTATCTCCGGAAATAATCGGAATTTTCACAACTTTCATTTTCTTGGTTTCCTATATGTACAACTTTGCCCCATTTAACTCACTTCGTATCTCTTAGCCTTTCCGAGATACCAATAATGTTCGAATTTGAAACACCCGGTATAGTATTTAAAAAACTGAATTTCATGTGACAAAGGAATTTGATCCTTTATGAGGCTTACAAAAGAAAAATAAGGCACAAAATGGTCTCGAAATTACATCGTTCTTTTCATCAAACTGCCTCATCTACTTGAGGAAGTAATAAATAACACAAGTTGTCCTTTGTATTTACCTTTATTACCAACTACATAAAAGTAGAAAAACACTTTACTCTGATTTCAACAGAAAACTTGTACCACAGATAAACGTTCTGATGGATCGTTTCACATTCATAATAAGATTAATTTCAGATAAAAACTTTACCTTTTATGTTCTAAATTTTGTCACAAAGAATGTCATTGAGTTATTATGATGACAGAGTGAGCCTTGAGTTGGTGTACTACCGTATTAGTGCAAGAATCGCATTTTTTGTTTCAAGTTCCAGACAGGCGTATTAATAAGTTTGCTCCACTAAACTTGTACTTGTCATATCCATCTTATTTTTTCGTTGTAGAGATAGAACTGTTTCGAATTTTCTCCGAATATGGCTTATTTAAATAAACTTAAGGTGAATAGAGGTACTTTTAGGGCAGGTCAGAGATGTTCCGCTGCTCCGTCGCTGCTTCAGTATGAATTTTTTTGGTGGTATTGTTAGACTGTTGCTTCCCAATGATAAGTAGCATTTGCCGCAATTTTGATAAGCGCATTTAATTGAAAATCTTGAAAACCGTCGATACTAAAAAATAATAGAAACGATTTTGTTGGGCAATACCCAAACAAAATCTATTCCTTATAATATATAATGACTTATGGAGTTATTCCCCATGTGACAACATGTTGACAACAGTGCGAAGTATGCTGCACGACTTTATTGATGCTGAACTTTTTATTTTCGCTCCTAATACCTGAAGAACGATCAAGGCGTCGAAATAACGTAGAGGGCCTTTTTATAGAAAATATTATTCTCTACAAAAAAGGATGGTAGTCTTTATACGCTTAGTCTGTTAGTTTAGGAATTATAGGCGAACATAGATATAAATAGCAATATTAACTACTACACTTGCTCTTTTTATTCGCTCCAACACAGACACGAAATATTGGTAAAGACCACACATAAAAATATCAACCAAGGATCACCGGGAAGATTAACAAAATATATATGAAATATATATGTGAATCCTACCAGTTTGAAAATTGCTACTGAAAAAGTTTATGAATTGAAGGGTGGTGGGGTGAAAATCCAATGTAAAACAAAAGATGATATCGAGAAGCTACATAAAGAAATAAAATCAAAAATGCCAGAAACATATACAGTGAAAACTTCAGCGATAAGTAAACAATCACAAATCAAAGTTATTGGATTTTGTCAAGAATATGCAGAAGATAAATACTATAAAATCACAAAATGAATCTTTTCAAGAAAATTCACATATGAGAGTAATTACAGTCAAGAAAATGAAAACTAAATATCAAGAAATTTTAGAAGTGGATACTGTGACTTTTAAGTGTGTTTGAATCAGGGTGTTATTTTTATCGACATGTCTGTTTGCTCTGTTTTCGAGTACATCAATGTTTTGCGATGCTATGAATGTACCGGATTTAACCACACAGCTAAATACTGCACAAAATCAGGAGATGTATTACTTGTGGATTAGAAGGACATTCAACAGAAAACTGTAGTACCAGTGAAATGTACAAATTGTAAAAGTGCAAACCAGGATTTTAATCTAGGATTACCTATTAATCATGGACCATTTGACAAAAATTGTGAAGTATATAAAAGGAAAATTGAGCGTGTATTATGTCTTACCGAAACACAGAAGACATCACTGATGGTGAATTACAAATTACTAATTATAAAACCTACAGATGCAACTCCAACTCCAGCCATACTGGAGGTGTAGTGATTTATGTTTACCTCAAAATACAGATCAAATTATTCGATTGTACCACTTTAGACTATGCATACTGGTATGCACATATACAGTTCAAATTATTTGGGAAACGTTCACCAAACACTGATGCGGATACATTTTTAACGTTTTTTGAAAAGAAATGCGAAGAAATGTGGAATTTTAGAAACATTATAATACTTTTAGGTGATTTTAATTTAAATTATTATGGTAAAAGCATGAAAACAAGAAAATTGAAAGAAACCATAAATAACTATGGGTTCAAGCAAAAGTTGAAGAGAGTACCAGAATAACATCATTTCCAGAAACTTTGTTAGATCTTGTTATTGTTAATTTCGAATGTGCAGGGATTAAAGCTGTACATACACCTAAAGTTAGTGATCACAGTTGGACAATGCTGCCCTTGGTAGCGCATTTTTCTGATACAAAAATTAAGAAAATCGTAAATACTATTAAGTACGAAAAACTTGAACGAGAACTTGCTGGCTGCTATTGGAATTTTGGTGAGAATATGGAAAAAAATATAAAAACTTGTTTAGATCTTGCAACTGATAAAAAAGTGATTTGCTCGACAAAAAATACACCCTGATATAACAAAAATATTAACGCTGCTCAAAATTTGAGAGACAAACAATACAATAAATGTATATTCACAAAGTCAAATGATGATTGGGAGGTATATAAAACTCTTAGGAATAAATGTGTGTATGTAATTAGAGAAGAAAAGAGGAAATTCCACGATAAACTAATCGATAATAACAAGTGCGACAGTGTAAAGATGTGGAAGACTTTCAAGAGACGGATCAATTCGAAGCCGCATGATTGTGTGAATCAAGTTCAATTCGAAAACGGTAGCGAAACAAATTCTTTCGTGATTGCAAACAAACCAAATAAATATTTTGTGGAAAGTATTGTTGATATTGTGGGTACTGCCAATGCTGCACCTGACTATATGAAAATCAGTTTCCAGGGGGAAATGTTGCATACACTTTCAAAATTTCAAAGCGTATCATTTAATTATCTAAGAAAAAAGTAAACAGTTTAAAATCAAATAACAACTGTGCCGAAATTTTGGGATATCCTGTATTAAATTGGATCAAATTGGATCAATTGTTCTCTGAGAAGCAGTTCTTTTCCTGAAAATTTGAAATGCTCTACAATAACACCAGTTCCCAAAATAAAGAATTCTAAAAGATCTAGCGATATGAGACCAGTAAATGTGTTACCAGACATTGAAAAATTATTAGAGTCCATAGTGCATGACCAATTAATGCAGTTTATAGAAGAAAACAAAATTTTAGTGGATGCGCAAGCAGACTTTCAAAAAAAATATTCCACAGAAACGGCTTTCCAGTTGGTAACTGAGAATTGGAGAAGAGCCATAGACTCAGAAGAAGTTGTCATAGCAGTATTTTTGGATTTAAAGAGGGCATTTGAAACGATTGATAGAGATATTTTGTTAGGTAAATTGAAGGCATATGGTATATCAGGAAGTGTTTTAGATTGGTTTAGAAATTATTTGTCTAAAAGGATGCAAGTTACAAAAGTTAATGACACTATTTCATCAAAAATTGAAAATACGTTGGGTGTTCCACAGGGCAGTATCCTGGGACCACTTCTTTTTATTTTATACATAAATCATATTTACCTGCCTTAGTAAAAAAATGCAAAATTCAGATTTTCGGCGATGACACTATGATTTATATAAGTACTAAAAATATTCAGACTGGTAGCTCTTATACAAATGAAGACTTTAAGCTTGTCTCAAAATGGTTAGCATCTAACAGACTAAAATTACATACAAGTAAAACGAAAGCCTTGTTAATCGGAAAAAAACAATGTACAAATGTTCAGCTGAATATTGATGGTGAAGATATTGAGTTCGTAGAAAATTTTAAATACCTGGGGGTTTTTGTTGAATCTCGATTAATTTTTGATATTCATTATGAAAAAGTTATAGATAAATTACTAGTTAAGTGGGATATTTATCGAGAGTTTCTGGATGTCTGAGTTCATATAGCAGAAAAATTATCTGTAATACCATCATTCTTCCAAATTTCTTGTACTGTCCGACTATTCTATATTTAGCAAATAATTCCATTTTTGAAAGTCTGCAAATTTTACAAAATAAGTTCATGAGAATAATACTGAATAAAGATAAATATACTCGAATTAGTCAAATGCTTAGCAAATTCAAATGCCTCAATGTAAAATTTTTTATCAAATATCTTGTAATGATATTCATTTATAAAGTAAAAAATAATATATTTCCATCAAATCTAACTAATTTAACATCATCAAATGTCGGCCATCATTTACATAATATCGGAAATAAAGATGACTTCCATTTAATGACCAAAAAGTATAACATATGCTACAAATCTGTATTCCATCAAGGATTGAAAATTATAAATTACGTATATACTCAGAGATAAAAGATCAGAAAACTTTGACAAAATTTAAAGTAAAATTGAAAAATCACTTGTTAAATCTACAATTATAGGTTGCCCAGCATTTACATCATACATCATATGGCTTGAATTTACTAGTTCTAAGTTGTTTACAATTATTCTGTTCACGTGGCCAAATGTGCTAAATAAATCTTTCTACTACTACTTTTTTTTTATATTCCAACTACCACGAAGGCCTAAGGCCTAAGCACCCATTGGGTACCGTGGGGCTATGGGGGATACATGGGAAAGGGGGGACGCCACACAGACTCTGGCGAGGGAACACGTGTGCATGCAACATGCACACATTCTGGCTCCGCCTACGAGAACCGCCGGGTGGTACCTCCGCGTTCGACAGTCAGAGACCATCTACCACCTACGGACAATCACAACATCCATAGCCAAGAGAAAAATTTCTCCTGGGACGGGACTCGAACCCGCACAGCGCACGGCGACTGATCAGGAGACCGAACAGTCTACTACTGCGGCCACCGCTGCTGCCTGACATAACATACATGCACCTCTACCCTCAAACTTATCGTAATCTGTTCACTATTTAGAATTTGGAATTTAAAGTTGTTACAAACTTGTTTCTATTACTTTTTACATAGGCTTGATAGTTTTCGAGATTTTCGATCAAACGCGTTTTTGACGCCAATTTCAACTTATGATTATTACGGTTTTAGAAATCTACCCCCATAACATAGAGTAAATGCAGGTAATTTGGAATACTGTTGGTAATTTGGAATACTGGAGAAACTAAGTTATTAGCAGCGACATCTTTTAAGAAACATCGGTATCAGATAGTCTACATAGCAGTCAACGAATAAGCCGTGGCTTAGAGGGCGCTGTGTTGTTAGTGTCGTGGCAATTATCGTGCAAGTGGAAGTACTGTTTGTGAATTTTTTTAAATAAGTAATCCATTCGCATCTCAACTTTTAAGCATATTCAGATGTTTACACTGATACAAATACACAGTTTAGTATATTAATTATTGAAATTAATACTTATTTTGCTACAAATTGTAGATATAAATATATCACAACATTTTAAGGTTAGGTAAGGTTTGTTGTTAATTTGGTATACGGCAGGTGGAGTGAATTTGGAATATTCCGAATTATATGCACATTTAGCGCACATACGTTTCTTTTTCGTATTTTCTGCTTTGTGGCTTCTTTATAATTGATTGTTTTTTGTTTTAGCAATGCCCTCTTCCACTAACAGATACAAAAAACGAAAGAAGTGGTCTGAAGAAGATATGGCTGCTGCAGTACAAGCGGTTCGAGAAAAAAAGATGGGGTATTTGAAGGCAGCGAAGACTTATAACGTACCGAGAACTACTGTATTTCGGCTTACAAATCAAACAGAACTTTCAATGCCAGAACTTCTTTCAAAAAAGATTGGTCGCAAACCACTCTTTGATAAAGCGTTTGAGGACATGCTAGTAAATTACGCCCTTATAATGGAAGATAAATTATATGGTTTGACTCAAATGGATATGAGAAGAATAGCGTACCAACTTAGCGCACCTGTGGGATCGATTGGACGGGCACATCCATCTGGTTGGATACAGACATATTTGTTCACGCAATGGTTCCAGCATTTTATTGACTATGTGAAACCATCTGCTGCGGCACCAGTTCTTCTCTTGTTCGATGGTCACTTTAGTCATACAAAAAACCTGGAGCTCATAGATAAAGCGAGACAAAATCACGTAACCTTGGTTTCACTGCCACCACACTGCACACATAAAATTCAGCCCATGGATAAGTCCTTCATGGGTCCCCTTAAGACCTATTATAGCGAGGAAATTCGGGTGTGGTTGCGCGAAAATAATAGACCCCTTACAGCTTATGATATTGTAGAGTTATTTGGTAAAGCATATCGTAAATGCCAGACTGGAGAAATTCAGCTAGAGGCTTCAGTATCGGGGGAATTTATCCATTTAATAGATACGTCTTCACAGATTCAGACTATGTCGCAGTAGCTCATGATGTAAAACAAGATCAATCAAACATCAGTGAACTGCCAGATGAACCTCCATCGATAACAGAAGCATGTCATCTCAGCGCAAACTGTCAAGAGGACAGAATTGAAATCACAAATCTGTCACCGTCCATTATTCAGCCTGGAAGCCCTTGTGATACTTCAATAAATTACAAAGAACAACCGAATACTTCAGCGTTATTAGAACAGGAAAAAGAAAACCGCCCAGGCCCTTCTCATAGTGGCTCCGTTACCACACCGTTTGATATTTCGCCTATTCCCACAACTAGGAAACGCACATCTAATAGAGGTCGCAAATCGGGAAAATCTGAAATTATTTCAAATTCACCTTATAAAAACGAACTGGAGGAAGCAGAAAGAGAAGGATTGAAAGGCAGAAAAAACTCACTAAAAATGAAGATCAGGATAAACATGTAGTTCAAGGAAAGGGCAAAGAGAACAGCAAGGGCAAGGGAAAAGGAGTAAATAAAGGTAAAGAGCAAGAAAAAGAAAAGGAAAAGAGAAAAGGTAAAGAAATTGATGAAAAAGAGAAACGTAAGGGTAAGACTGCTGCTAAAAGAATGATATTACAAGAAGAGTTTACGGACTCTGATAGTGATGCTACATTCAAGTCGGACGAGTCAGAAGAGGAATTACCCAAGGAAGATCAGGTGAAACAACCAACAGAAGATGATTGCACTAGTTTCTTTTGTGATGGAAAATATGCAGATGATCGAAGTTGAGAGGAATGGGTCCAATGTCTCATGTGCGAAGGATGGGTGCATAGCGAATGCGCTGGCTATGACCACGGCTACTATGTGTGCGATTTTTGCAAAGAATAGAAAAGTCTATATACAGGGTGTTCCATAATTATTGCGACAAAATGATAGGTGTTGTAGAGGGCATCAAAATGAACAATTTTGCCTTATAAACCCCTGTTCGGAAACATGCCGTTTGGGCTGCAACAAAAAAAAAAGATCAGTTTCTTGAAACAGCTTACCTACAGTAATTGCTCAAAGTGTCCTCCACCTTGCTCAATACACAGCTGTGCACGATTGTTCAATGATCGGCGAACTCTGTGGCATACCCCCGGTATGTCCTGAACATGTGCGGACGCGGCCATCACTCTTCCCAGTAGCTCTTGTTGGTTGGGAACAGGAGTTTCGTACACTAAAGCTTTCAGATGGCCCCAGAGAAAATAATCCAGTGGGGTCAGGTCGGGTGACCGCGCAGGCCAAGGCACAGGACCTATCCACCTATTTGGAAATTTGTCGTCCAAATACTGCCGCACTTGTAAAGAAAAGTGGGCTGGAGCGCCATCGTGTTGAAACCACATGTTGGCTCTTATGTTCAGTGGCACATTTTCTAATAGTTCCAGTAGCACATGCTGTAAGAATCGACCATAAGCATGCCCATCCAAACGTGGTGGAAGCAAATATGGCCCGATGATATGCTCGTCCACAATGCCGCACCAGATGTTAATTGAAAACTGATGTTGGTCTCTGGTCTGGATGGCTATGCCATGAGGGTTTTCTTCATCCCAAATGTGACTGTTACGGCTATTAAAATAACCGTCCTTTGTAAAACAAGACTCGTCAGTGAACAAAACGTAGCGACCAAAGTTTGGTTGCCTCAACTCCATGAATCCTTGCAAAAATGGCGTGATGCGGATGAGGACGTTCTGGAAACCGTTGGGCGTAGATTCGCGAGGCTCGTCTTTCGTTACCACCAGCTTCTTCGTAAATTAAATGCATATCCGCAAGTTCCGCATACGAATAACGCTGCATTTTAACACTAAGGTACTGTTATTTACTATCTACATAGTTTGACGCACCACTCATATAAATTAAATGAATCGGTGTGGAGAATTTACGATAACAAAAATGTAAACACAGCAGGCTTTTTTTTACAAACCGGCGAGACCATGAAATGTGCTAGACGAACATTTTGCAGCTGGTGAATTTTTTGTTTCTCCTATGAGCTCTTAAGGTAAAATTAGCGGTAGTGCTCAAACGGCATATTTACGAACAGGGGTTTATAAGGCAAAATTGCATATTTTTATGCCCTCTACAACCCCTATCATTTTGTCGCAATAATTATGGAACACCCTGTATAGTCTTAGTTAGTTTAAGTAAGACTTATCTAGATTTCAGAACTGAACTTTAAGTTAAAAGTCTATTATTTAAAAGTGAACATAATTTGGAATACCATATTCCAAATTATATTCATATTAGGTATTTGGTGCCTTTCAGTGATTTTATATATAAACCAAAGTTTATGCCATTTATAGAAGAATAAGACTGTTGTTTATTTTTATGCTATTAATACACTAGTTTCAGTTACTGTAAGTGTGGTTTTCACTCTTGTTGCTCTCAACCCGTGGTGAGTATGATTGTTTTACAAACTGGTATTCCAAATTACCTGCATTTACTCTAATGTTTCATCTTACAAGATCACGTGGATTATGTCGTGGCATATAAGGATTTTTCGCCTAGTATATGATATATTAATGATTATAACCTGAAAGTTGTAAATATAAAACCTATAGGTGGCTGGAAAAATTATAACAGTATACTCAGTAAATTTTCAATGTGTGAAACAACATCAATGACTAATCAAAAGTTTCCGGGGGTATGCATACCACAGGATTACCTAAGTTGTAATACGTAATATTAGATCTTTGTAATAAGTGAAGTGGGCTGCTCTGGCTGCGATTCGATGAAGGTTACCGGAACATGGTGGATGAAGACGCCGTCTTCACATCACCCCTTCCTCAGGGGTTCTTGAAGTTAGCGTTTGAACAAAATATGAACTTTTCAAATGGATAGTTTCCGGGCGTACGCAGGCTCAGTGAAAGGTCAGGAATAAAAACAGCAAAAAGTAAAAAGGTGAAAAAGGCCTTAAACAAAAATACAATATGGAACCGGGTTCAATGATAATACGAGTCGGCTTACCTTCCTTGAAGTGTGGCCAAGAGAATTTCGGCTAGGCTGCGTCGAAGATTTGGGGAAACCACCTACGACCAACATCCCCGTAGGATAAAAACATAACGAGATCAATCGATTTGACTCCCTTTCTGACTAAATTCGCAAAGTTGCATGGAGCTACGACCAAAGAGTGAAGTTTCTGGGAGTTCGGCCACGGAACCCAAGGCTTCCGGACATCAAATCAGGCGGAACAGCACTACACTTTTGGATCAAGGAAGTGACACATGACATCACGAAGCAACAGTGATGAGCGAAAATGAAAACAACAGGAGATATTGAACCGAAAATTCTAAATAAGCTATGCAGGAATACTTCAGGGAAATTGAGGTAGTTAAAGCCAAAATAGGTTAAGCTTTGTCTGATATTTACAATCTATACAGCAGTTATTACAAGATTTCCGGATGAAATTAGAGCTGATTCCACGGATCAAGATGGCACCTTGTACTAAATAAAGATTATGAAGTTAGCTTTCGTAACCGTTCACAGTGTATACTTTTTCAGTCAATAAATCTTAAGTTCTGCATAATGAATCTGATTTGCTTTGAATCCGTCACATGATTAGGAAGCAATAATCTAACTATAACACATAAATCCACTTGTCTTACAGAATTAGCCGGAGTGACTTGACTGGCCCTATAGTATGATTTTGCCATAACATTATCTATAACTACGAGTATATTATATTAATTTACACTCGAAATCAAATAACATTATTATTTGGATATTCTAAAATAAGTAAACTAGTCCAACCCATTCAACTTAACGCTTGCATCCATTTTTAAGTAATACAGTCCTGCAGTACCATCTTTTGGTTGATCGTAGCTAAACTGAGATTCGTCTCCGGTGCACTCCTCATAGGCTTCGTTGGTTCCGCAATTTTTCATTTTCAGCGGTCCATTGTTGATAGAATATTCTATTAAGGCTACGGGGACGTAGTGGGCACAAGTTGGTGTTCCAATAAGCTGCAAATGTACAGAGTGCTTGAAAACAATGACAGGATTACCAAGGAGCAGAAAGTACATCCAAGAATGAAATAGAAAGTTTTTATACAGGGTATCCCACGAAGAACTGCTGTGATCGATTACTCAAAAAGTTGACTTGAGACATTTATGAAGGTTTGGAACTCGGCTAAGCTATTTTCAAAACAGCAGCAATTCCGGTAGTACCGGAAGTAATTACCAGCCTGAATTAGAAAACTCAAAAGCTCAATTTATTCGAATGGAACGCACCTTTGATTTTATAATCTCATCATGTGAGGCATCCAGATTAAATTTAATTTTGTATGAGAATGTCTACTTCGCAAATTAATATAGTTTTCGAGATATGTGAAAAAAGTGGGATTTCCTTTGCTTGACGAGATAGTCTCATTTGACCATGGTGGAAATCGGGCAAACTATAAGGATATTGCCATATTGCCGCGTCATGGCCAACTGAGATTATCTTATGGTAAAAGCCGGATGGTGCAAACAAGCACCAACATTCATGGGTGGAGCTTTCAGACCGAGAATATGTGGTCAATTAAACAGTTGTTCTGGAATATTGTCATGTCCCGTAATACATTTTTTAATTACTCTAAGTAACTAAATTATTCGGTTTAATTAAACTGAATTTTCTGGAACCAGTCTGATTGAAAGTAATATATATATATATATATATAATATATATATATATTAATGCTTAAAAATAGCAAATCATGTACCTTTTTTATGAAACTGTTTAATTAGTTTAGGTAATCTAGGTTAAATAAACATTTTAATATAACAGTTAAAGGCGATTAATCAAAACCGCACACAATCGGATAAGGACATATTTACTTTCGTTAGATGCTGCTAGATATATGTATAAATTTGAGAATTGAGGGTACATCCCTCTGGGTCCTGCGAACCGTTCTGACAAACCTTTTATTTGTATGCCTAACTTTTTAATACTTACTCCTCGTCCTTCGCATTGTGGATGGCTAGAACAAGATCCTCCATTCACAAAAATGTCAACATCCCCCAATACTCTGTCTGTTCCAAGAACATTGTCAATACAGCTATGCACCACTACCACGAACTCCGCATCGCCTTTTATCAAAGCTTTCAAAAATGATACTACTGTAAAGTAAGGTTTCGCAGGATCCAAACCTAAAAAAAATAATTATAAAGTATCCAGTTACCACGTGAATGAATGAAAAATAAATAAATAATTCGAATATCACAGAAACAACAAAACACAAGTTGACATTTTACCGATTTTTTTTGACATTTTCTTGGTAATGATCCATCCCAAAAACATATAATATGTCATATATTGACTTTGCCAAACCTAAATAATTTCAAAAACATATGTCCTCATACTTGGCTTCAATGTGTGAGAATCGTGCTTATTATTTATCGATTATAACAAGCGTTATTTTAGCACAACAAAGGTGGTCTACACCACACGTGCACCTCAGCTGTTATAATATTTGAATGGAAGATGTGTGCATCGGTTTAGGTATATCAGATATAAAATGCAATCCCCCATGCTTGTATGGCCGAGAAAACTACATGTATTGACAGATTTTCTTTACTATATTGAACGATTTAATCACAAAGGTGACAATGACATGTATTTGATTTACCTGCCTTTCAGGTGACAGTTCGTTTGCTTTTTCGTTCCATTATCACACACTGAGAAAACGTGGTCAATTGCACAGTGTTTCTGGCAAATATTCATTACCCGTAATATTTTTTTTAATTATTTTAAGTAACTAAATTACTCGGTTTAATTAAATTGAATTTTCTGGAAGCAGTTTAATTTGAAATAGCAAACAGGGTACCTGTTTTATTAAACTGTGTAATTAGTGTAGATAAGTTATGTAGATTAGGTACATTTGAAACAATTAGACATTTTAATAAAAACAACTAACTGATTAATTGAATCGTACACTCGGTAGGTTTCGGCGCTTCATTCCTGAATGATCGGGAGTAGACGAGGCGCAGTCCTTAGTTTCATTTCTGATTTTCGTGACAGGCTTAGTTTATATTCGAATGTTGCCGTTGGTGTAGTAGCTGTGAACTGGATCAATTATGGTGATCAAGTGAAAACCAGAGCAGAATCATGAATAGAACATTTCTTGCTCCCAATGAAATACTCTCTATAGATGAGTCACTGCTGACGTAACGCAATGGGAAGAACAAGGCTTCATGTGCTTCTTAAAACAATTTTAAGATATGCCTTTTACTAGACTGGATGCCGTATGTTCTTATAGTTCAATGGTAAAAATCGTTAACTCAATACTTTGATTAAACGTCCCGATGGATCCCGTATGTATGTTGTATATAACAAAATAGGAAGTGAGCCTCCTGTTGGTGCACACTTTGTAATATTTGAAAATGTCCTATTTGATTAAAGTGATGTTGAATTTATTTATATTCAGGGTGTTTCAGAAAGACGTTGCAATATTTCTATGGTAGAACGTACATCTAAATATAATGAAAAAAGTTCCCATAAATATGGTTCCAAAGATGCTCCCCAGCGAGATACAGGGTGCTGAGGTTTTATTTGAAAATTTTAAAGAAATATAAAAAAATAATACGCGTGTCTTATATTCAATCAGTAGCGTAGAAGCTTACCATTCATTATACATTTCCTGTGCACGCCACTGGTTTTGCTTGCATATACATTTTTGTTTATAGATAAAAAAACTTCAAGCGTTTATTACAAAAATAAATAAATAAAGCCAATAAGAATTAAATACAACAACAATAAATATACAGTTGATACAACTTACGTGGTTATTTCTAAATGTATGATGACATAACATTGGGAACAAGAAATAATGCTGAATAAATTCTATAACATCCAACCTAAAGAAGGTGTTGTAAGTGGATTCAACACAAGCCCGTGCTCTCCACCACAAAGACTATCTGATTCTTTGGAAAATACTTGGCGTAGTACGAACAGTGCTGAAAGTTTTTTGTATACTTCGTCCTCATACTTCGCGTTCCAGGTTGCTAACGATTACGCTATCTAGGTTAAAACCCCATGTTGAGGCAAAGAGTGGTCACATAAAGAGAAGACAGATAGATAAAGTTAATAAAAGTAGAGAAAGATAAGAAATGATTTCAAAAATATGGCGTCCACAAAACAGCTGATGGTGTCAAAGCCTGGCTGCTCTTATTTTAGTCGGAAATAAATGCGGTGTTGACAGATAGATCTTTTTTGGATGAATTTATTCACCATCACTTGTAGTGAACGCATTTCTTGTTGAAATTTACTTTTGCTCAGAAATTTATTATATTTATCATCCATTTGTAACCTACGAAATATATTTTTGATTAAATAAAGTTATAAATCACATTTTCCGCGAGTGAAGCGATTCTTAAAACCTATAAATCATCACATAGCTATTTAATTTTTAGGGCAGCCCTACGTGAAATACTACGCGATTTAATTTAGTAATAAGAGAAGTCTTCTAATCTCAAGTTGCTCGTTTGACCAATCATCGATCTATTTAACATGATGTCATGATATTTATTTATTTTGTACGTTCTTTTGACGTAACCACCAAAAACCGTGAAAAGAGCTGAACTCCATTCTGCTTGGTATAAATTTAGTATTTTATAAATATTTTATGGATAGCTTGGACTTACCGCACATAGTTTTTATTTGTAAACCAGTCCAAGAGCCGACTGCAAAGTTTTGGTTACATCGCGTACTTACATAAAATGTTAAAAACTAGTTAGTCTTACGTAGTTTGATGCTAAACAGCAAACTCGCCAAGATACGTAAGATGTGACTAGTTTTTATCGTGTCATATTAGTACACGATTGTGGTTGTTGAAAAAATACATTTTGATGTAATTGTCGATTATTGAGGCAAGTTGAATGCATAAGTTTATGTACTTTTTCACGATGGCCGATTCATGACTTAGATATAAAACGGGATATTCGACTTTCCCAGGTTGTTCGCTTTGCCCAAATTTTTCCTGTGTTCATTAAAAATATCGAAACATGCAAAATTATGACATGAGACACGTTAATTGGTCAATATTTAAGCGTGATTTTCAATATTAAGCAATGAAAAATAAAATTATTAATATGATTACTTTGCTGGAGTTATATACCGCTAAGCCTATGATGTCCATTAGAGTTTTTTTGGGATCTTTCAATTATTATTATTAACAAACCGTGAAGGTCTTTTAAAATTTCAATCTTACAGAACTAAAATGCTACATTAAGCTCAAAAAGTTCTTTAAAACTGCTTTATTTGTCAATGATAGAGTTTTTATTGTCTTCTGAAAAAATCAAATCATGGCACTCACGAGGTTTTTGCACTGGCCGATTGGAAAAGCTAGTTCAGTGATATGATATGCATCTGATGCTTCTTCTTGGATATGGAACAGCCTGTACAATAAATTTCATAAATTATGTATAATGATAATGATCAAGCTCACGTATAGTATTATAATATATTAAGTAAAAACTAAATAATTTGTCATGGGATATCATGGATGATGAACTGCGTTCCCATAACCTGATATGTACATACCTTAATATAGGTTCTCAGTGACATTAGTGTTACACTCAGAAAAAATAATTTATTCAACTTGTTTTTTTTTTTGGGCAACATAATGACTATATTTAAAGCATACTGTGGCATCAATGTCAACGTTTTATCTTTGTTAAGATGTTATCTCTTTTTAGTTATTGCCCTTTCATTTACTAGTGTTGAGCATAACAAAATGCCTCCAAATCGTCCAAATTATCACCATGTTAGCGACCTACACAGGGGTGGAATTATTGCGTATCGAGATGTTGGTTTGTGCTATCGCGAAATTGGACGCCATGTTAATTGTACTATAATGAGGTAATGCGTGTGGTCGTGTGTGGATAGAAGAAGGTAGAGGAACACGAAGAAGGCCAACTGGTCCACCGAGATGTACTACAGAGCGTCAAGATAGGCGCTTCAGACAACTAGCCCTATGAGACAGTTTAGCTACTACGCGTCAGGTCGCTGATCAATGGTTTGGAGAAGAAGGTAGACCTGTAACTATGCGTAGTTGCTATCGCAGTATTCGAGCCTTTACACTTTTTCATACCGTCCACAGTTAGTGCTTGCTCTGACTGCGGACCACTGTCGTAAACGTTTGAACTGGAGCAGAAAACGGTAAAATTGGGAGAATTCCATAATTTCATCTTCAGCGAGGAATCGCTATTCTGTCTAGGTACGCACGATGGACGTAGAAGGGTAAGACGCCGCCGAGGAAATTTTTTTTATATTCCAACTACCACGAAGTCCTAAGGCCTAAACACCCATTGGATACCGTGGAGCTATAGGGGGATACAGGGGAAAGGGGGAACACCACACGGACTCTGGCTAGGGAACACGTGTGCATGCAACATGCACACATTCCGTCGGGTGGTACCTCCGCGTTCGACACTCAGAGACCGTCTACTACGTACGGACAATCACAACATCCATAGTCAAGAGAAAAATTTCTCTTGGGACGGGATTCGAACCCGCACAGCGCACGGCGACTGATCAGGAGACCGTAGAGTCTACCACTGCGGCCACCGCTGCTGCCTAACCACCAGAATGGCGTGATACTGGATTTGCTGTTGAGAGGCATATACTATACACAGGACTGTTGGAGTAAGATGGTTTAGGGGGCTATTGCCTAAGATAGCCGATCACCCTCTCTCTTTGTTTAAGGTAGTATGACTGCCGCGCGTTATGTTGATAATGTCCTACAATCCTACTAACCACTTTACTGCCGTATCTAGAGGGCCGTCGACAGGTCCTTTTTCAGCAAGACAACGCACGTCCCCATGGTGCTTGTCATACTAGGGACTTTTTTCAAGAAGCAGGCGTTAATGTTTTGCCGTGGCTACCCACTTAAATCCGATCGAACATGTGTGAGATATGATGTTGAGGAGACTATCCACTTTGCATCATCCACCACAAGATTCTGGCACTGCTGATACACAAGGTTTGAGTTGCTTGGAATGAGGTGCCACAACGACACAACAATCATCTCATTTTGTCGATGCCTAGACGTATACAGGAGCGTATTCACCTGCGGGGTCGCCCAGCACATTATTAATGTTTTTTCTTATTACTTATAAAATTTAGTGAGAATGTTATCGTTTCATTCTTGATGTAAGACTACCTCATTGCCAAAAAATCAGGTAGATTAAATAATTTTTGCTGGGTGAAACACTTCTAACGTCACTGAGTATACACAACGAATCTTGGATATATCGGAACATATTTTGTAAAAGATATTCAGTGTATGTTGTGTAAAACGTTGGCAACAAAATTACCTATGACAAGTTACGTTATTACTTTTTTGTATTGCAACTGCTTTTTGCAATTCACATAATCTTTCTCCAGCCATTTTCGGAAATTGTCTGGAACGCTAAGACTGAATAGAAATCCATGTACTTTCACATGTTTTCACAGAAAAATATGAATTTAACGCATAATGTCAACAAATGTCAAACTGGTAGCCTAAGCCTGATCCACTTGTAGTACGCGCTTGCATCCTAGCTACTGACTATGTGATTTTAGATCAAAATAAATCACATGCTAGCTCCTCCTGCCTAGTTCAAATTCGTCGGTATCAGTGGTGTGATAACGGTATATTGCGCCGAATATTGCAAATTTAAACATCGGCCCTGTCATTAAGAACCGGTGTTTCACAGCGGTTCAAAAGCCCTAAGACATCGCCAAAACTAGAAAGATACGCCAAATTTAATCAAAGAACTTCATTCACATGCTTTCGACGTCGCTGATAAGAAATATAGATTTATCGAATATCAAAATGGATTATCCAACATGGCAGACAAGCAATAGCAAAAAACATTGGATCTCGCTCAAATTCGAGTTTCGCATGTTTTTGACATGGCTAGTAAGAAACTGGATATCGATTTTGTTAATCAAAATGGCGAATCCAATATAGAGAACAAATATGCAAAAAATATTTTAATTGCATTTGATTTTGAGTTTTATCTTTTTAAGGTATTTTGCCAACTATTGTATAATGTCGCATAATTGGCAAAGTTGCAGTTAGCCGCAGCCAAAATTGAGATGTTTCTCAACTTATGGGTGTCTGATAAACATGCTACTAAAGCAGCATCCAATGGGCGATTTTCTACACTCTTTTTGAATTCACTAATTCACTATGAATTACAGAAAAATTATCAACTACATGTTGTTGTTGTATCATGACATGTTGGTGTCGATTAGCAAGTAATACAATGCCATTTGTACATATAATCTAAACTAAAAGAATACTGAAAAATTAAATCGTATCAGTATAAAGTGTGACGCCTAAGGCATAGTTCTCTGGAATTTTTTGATGTTTCAATTAGGAATATAAATAGTATACCTGTTATTCTTCCAATTCTTTCCCTATGCATGTCCTTGAAAAAATCCCCAGCATACCCAGCAATATGGGCTCCCAAACTGTGACCAATTATATGGAAGTCATCTGGGTCAGCTCCTAAAGTGTCCACAATTTGTACCATCACCGTTGCAATATATTTTCCTATACAATGAGTGGCAGAAGCGGCTGCATAGTAACAATTATCTGAAATTCAAGGACATCTATCTCAGAAGTAATCTAGAGTGTTTCTTGTGCTAGTATAGTATAGGCGGACACCACGAAATCAGAGTATACTTTCCCGAAGGTTTTTGATGCACGGAATCTGAATCCGTGGTCCAAGTCTATAATAAGACAGCGCAAAACGCCATCCATCATCAAAATTGGCCTCTACGGAGAGTGCATAGCAGCTATTTGTTGGAACTGTAAGGATTCTCAATTCGCGTTTAATAGCCCAGTCACCAATTGACCGCTAGACGGATGACGATTCTCTCTGAATAGTAGATGTGGTCTACTTGCCAAGGGTGTACCTAGGAGGTTGGGAAGGGGGCAAGGGCACAGCTGCCCCCTTTTTACTAGCTCGGCAAAAGTTAAATGGAGAGAACATTATTAAAAAAACTTCATGTACAGGGTTCTCCAAAAGCTGAATCAACCTATTAGATGAGAAATCACTAGGATTAGTTGAAATATACGTAAGATATAAAGTTAATTTTGCCAAAACCACTATATATTTTTATTCGTGTTTCGATCCTCGCCTTAGAGTTCTCGGAAACGGTAAAGCGAATGTAGCACGCGGCCGGTTAGATGTCTCTTTGAAAATTTGAGGTCTTCTAGCCATTTTATACTACAATGTGTAGGTTGGCTCTTGTTGTGGACTTCGTGTGTCGTTTTTTCCCTCTCCATCTTCTTTTTCTCAGGTTACACCCGTATCCGGATGTGTGGGCATGTGTATCTACTTTTGTAGTTTCATATGTGCATTCATTTCTGGCTTGATGTAGCCAACCAGCAGAAATACGCAACGCTCGGGTTACCTATCATATTTTCTGCTCGAATCCACTTTCCTGCTTTTTGCGGATTTTGCCCATTATTTTCTTACTTTTTGTTATATACCTTTCTCTGCGTGATCATTTTCTCTTTATATATATTATATTGTGTCACTTACCCCCTAAAAAGTAGGTTGACTTTGTACTGCATCATATGCAATGTTATTACGTGCCTACATATATATTTTAATGGAATTTTAGAAAAGTAACACCTTTAACAAATTAGGTTACTTCAAATTTCAACTATATATATATATACAGGTTGTTATATACCTTTCTCCGCATGATCATATTCTCTTTGTAGATCCTTTGGGCTTGAAGTACCACAGCAAGTGGCTATAACCGGCCGCGTGGTGGTGGGGAGACGTCTCCTTGAAAATTCGAGGTCGTATAGCCATTTTATACTACAATGTGTAGGTTGGCTCTTGTTGTGGACTTCGTGTGTCGTTTTTTTCCCCTGCAACTTCGTTTCCTCAGGTTACACCCGTATCCGGATGTGTGGGCATGTGTATCTACTTTTGTAGTTTCATATGTGCATTCATTTCGGGCCTGATGAACCCAACCAGCAGAAATACGTATCGCTCGGGTTACCTATCCTATTTTCTGCTCGAATCCACTTTCCTCCTTTTTGCGGATTTTGTCCATTATTTTCCTACTTGTTATATATATATATACATGTGAGCAGTAGTCATTGCCAACGACCAGTTGGGCAAAAATACAATTAATTGTTAATTGGGGAATTGGCTAACTTTTTAGGCTTTAGTTAACTCTTTTGATGGTAATTTCTAGCTTTCGGCAATTCTCTATGGAGCCTTCATCAGGAGTCGTCGTTGAGGTTGCAGCCAAATGGTGTTTAAAAAGGAACGCGGGGATGAGAGCACTTGTTACAAATATATACTAAGTGACATATAAATCCAAACACCCAGTTTAAATGATTTTATTTTAATAAAATTTTGTATAAATACTTAATGAAGCATAATAAGTAAATGATAAAAATTTCAAAATGATTGCAGTGCTTTAAAGCCCTTTGACCTTTAATAATGTGTGGATGCACCCTGATGTGCTACGCATTCTCCAACGCGCCTAGGCATGCTTCTGATCAGGTGGTCAATGTCCTCCTGTGGTATCTCATTCCAGGCAACCACCAACTCCTCTCGAAGTGCTTCTAGAGTCTGAGGAGGACGTTGCAAATTGAGCAATCTCCTACCCATCATATCCCACACGTGCTCAATTGGGGATAAGTCGGGAGATCTTGGTGGCCATGGTAACAATATGACATCATTATGTTGAAAGAAGTCTATTGTGACTCTTGCAACATGTGGTCGGGCATTATCTTGTTGGAAAGTTGGATCTGCCAGGGTGTCAAGATAGGGTAAAAGATGGGGTTCTAGCATTTCGTGGATATAACGCTGCGCGTTCATGTTACCTTTGATGAAGATTAAAGGTGAACTGGAACCATAAGCTGTAGCACCCCAAACCATAACTCCAACAGTGTGATGAACATGTCTTTCAACAAAAAACTGTGGATTCTTCCTTTCACCACGTCGCCTTCTAACCCTGGCACGACCATCGTGCATGCCTAAACAAAATCGAGGCTCGTCACTAAAGACAATACTGTTCCATTCCTGATCCCAGAGTGACCGTTGTCTGCACCACTCAAGGCGATTACGTCGGTGTTCTTGAGTTAAAGGGAGGACCCAGTGTGGCCGGTATGAAAACAAGCCAAAACTTCTCATTCGTCGGTAAACACTTCGCATGCCAAATAGGTCTTCCGTGTTCTGCAAACCATTCATTTACAAGGGACCTGGTAGTGGAGAAACGGTCCCTTAAGGCCAATAATTTTAGGCGGCGATCTTCACGGTCTGTTGTTCTACGGCGGCGTCCAGTGGCCCTTGCTCTTTGCGTACGGCCTTCTCGAAGCCATGCCTGACAACACCTAACCACAGTGTCTACACTTCTTTGCAATCTAACTGCAATTGCCCGAAAAGAAAGTCCAGCTTCCCGAAGTCCCACTATACGGCCCCTATCAAACTCACTAAGTTGACGAAATCGTACAGGTCTCCGTACTCTAGGCATCGTAACCGATCGTAAAGGATTTCAAGAACCAAAATCCTCCAACGTTGATTGTTTACTGCGGCTGAAGTATTCATTTTTAGAGCGTTAGTGAATTAAAAAAAAAGCAGTATAAAAACCGGAATGTCCAACTGATAAGGCTGAACATTTTTTTCACTTGTTATTTACAGTAAGATAAATACATTCACCAACTTTTATTAAAATAAAACCATTTAAACTGGGCGTTCGGATGTACATATATATGTCACTTAGTATAAAACCAATCGTTCGGACACATTGGGCTTATTGTTAACGACGGATACACCCGCACATATTAAAAATCAACGAGAAGCAATTTTTGGACAAAACTGGAACGTCGTTTCTAACCTCCTACATCCGCTTCACGTGGAGAATATGGACGTAAGTCCCTATCCCTCCTCTGTCAGTACGATCGAATAAACGTATCTTACTCATCCCGCGGCATTCGACAGCATTGTTCACACGTAGTTTGTCGTACTGGGTACCCAAACTATATAACGTCTTGTCAAATGAGTATAACGAATCCAGCCCAAATAACTTTAAAAAAAGCTTATAGCTGACCTCAAAGCAAACGGATGGCTAGAATTTAACTTTACGCATCTCTACAGGTAACTGATTGTCTCCTCTTTCTGAGAAGTGTAATATTTTGAGCTTTTCTTTTTTGGTGATCAATGTTGTGAAGTGTTCCATCCTAAATTTATGAATTTTTTTTCTCTTTATACTAGCTTACCAATTGTGTCTATGTCTCTAGGTCTAGTTGAGGAACAGCATACGAGTAAGCTGACACTCCACCTTTTCGTCACTATTCTTTTAATACTACCAAGTATATTATTTTGTAATGCTGTGACGAATAAAGACCATTTATTATTATTATTATTAGTATTATTATTATTATTACTATTATTATTAGAAATAGTGAAAAACAGAAAAATGACCATATCTCAGCGAAAAAAAAAAGATATTTAAGCAAACTCTACGGAATATGAAAGAGCAAGGCTTGTACTTTGAGATAACGTTCATGTTTTTTTTGAAAAAAAGAATTGATCACGCTACATAACCTCAAATATGGGTAAAAATAGTTACTTTTGCACTTTTAGGTTTGGATATCTCGGGAACTTGATGCGCCCCTATCGCTGCACCGATTGTGAAATGCAAGTTGTACTCCGTTTTCTTGGCGATAACCAGTACTGCGACTTTAGATTTGTATGTTGGTGTTAGCTGAGTTTCCATTAATAACTGGACACTGACTGCTGCCGATGATCAATGCGTCCAATTAATAATAATAGTACTTACAAGCAAGGCTGTGCCACCCGACTACTAAAGCATTCATATCCTTTTTCTCTGCAAACGTTCTTGCAATTTGAACATAATGATGATGCCCTGTAGATGCCCAACCATGGATCAGTAATACAGTCTTCTTATCTGGGTCGAAGCCCTCCGTGAGTTCCTCACTGATGATAACTCCTTCCACGTTACTCCTAATAAAAAAACTTGGGCATGTTTATCATAAAAAAAAGAATTGTGCGTGGGCGCGATGGAGCCACTTAAGTCTCGCACGGCTATTATGTAAAAAACCTAAACAACGTTGCTTGATATGATCGCTGTTCGCTGAAGTTTGAGCAACACGTACAGCTACAAAACAAGCTCGCAACAAGTGAACACTACCTTGTGCCAACTTAACAACTTGTAGTAAGACCTACGAATGTCAACAAAAAAACGGACGAAATGTCACTTTTTAAGATACGCAATACGGGTGCCGGGCTATGTTGTTTATGCATACGTCGGTTACCACATATTATTTGAAGGAAAAGGAATATATAGACTTACAACGTTAAACGCCATGGCGGTCCCATGGGACCGATTGACATCGGGTCTATCACGCCACGGCGGTCCGTACGGACCGCTTTGCATTTAATTTATTTTCACGGTGACTCCAGCCAAAGGTCCATATTTAAATTCATTTTTCGTGTTAGACATGGGCCTCTGTGGCTTGTATGGATTATACCCATATGCCAACTTTTTGGTGTATTTTTGTTTTAAACAGTTATTCAATTTTTTTATTCACATCATTTATTTCTTACTAAATCTACACAACAACTTTGACAAAAACAAATAAAGATTGCAGTGAAAATGCGTATATATATATATATGAGAAGTAGTCATTGCCAAAGCCAACGACTAGTTGGGTACAAAATACAATTACTTGTTAATTGGGAAATTGGCAAAACTATTAGGCTAAAGTTGACTCTTTTGACGATAAAATCAAGCTTTCGGCATTCTCTATGGAGCCATCATCAGGATTCTGAAAACACAATTGTGATGCTAGCAAAGAAGACACATTTAAAATGTCAGACAACTTACTCGTCGGTGAGGTTGCAGCCACAAGGTGTTTCAGAAAGAACGTAGAGAAGATCGAACTTGTGTTCAGTTCTTAACTTTTAACGAAGGTATCTGTCGTTTTTTTTTTAACAAGCCCGATGTGTATGTTGTCTGACATTTTTAATCTGTCTTCTTTGCTAGCATCACAATTGTGTTTTCAGAATCCTGATGATGGCTCCATAGAGAATGCCGAAAGCTTGATTTTATCGTCAAAAGAGTCAACTTTAGCCTAAAAGTTTTGCCAATTTTCCAATTAACAAGTAATTGTATTTATATATATATATATGAGTGTGTATATATATATATATATGAATATATATATATATATTTACATCCAGGTCAATCATTTGCTTCCATCAACATGCACGGCACATTACATCTTGACTCCATGACTATATTGATACCATATATCGGACTCAAAATAGTTAACTCGATTTCTGCCGCTCTAGAAGACCAGAGATGCTTCAATCTTTACAGATTCCTACGCGATTCTTCAGCAGAATCTGTGTTGAGTTTTTGTTCTATGATACCTGGCACCAGATGGCTGCAATTGAATAATGTGTGGATGCAATTTATTACTACTTTTGTAACCAAAAAATATGATTTTAGTTCACAGAAATTCCGCTACGCGGAGGCATAAATATGCTCACTGGAACTTTGCCTTCATTCCGTAGATTATTTTGGTTCCTCTTCTAAAAATCATTGGCAACGCTGCATGTCGCGTCTATACGTATAACAACATCATCTATCCAGTCGTATCTTGATTCCCGACGTTTTGAGTATGATTTTGCAGCCAGTGAGTTTCTGTTGCCTGTTCAACTTGTTAAATACGAGTAACTTTCTTTGAGACCGAAATGGCTAGCAGTCAAGAAGAGGTAAGTTGTGTTTCGATTGATTGATTGATTCAAAATTTCAGGTAATGAAATTCGGGAATAACGAAAAACAAATAGATGGCTCTGTAACAGATCATTATCTCCAAGTGAGGACAAGAGTGGAAATGATACTCGACAAGAAAAGGTTAGTTTCAACAATGACTAGATTCTTGTAAGTCTTAATATTAATAGTCCTTTGGCCCACGGGGAGAGAATATTTTGTGACAACCTAGCCTTCAAGATTTTATAAAACTTTTTCTTTACGTTGATTGGGACAAATATTCAATAGCGACAATTTCTTATACTAGGCGTTGTACTTCCCATGACAACTTTCAGAAACGTTCGAAATCGAAATATCTTTTTTTTAATATTTCGTGACACACAATCCCAAAAATCCATGCTACTCATGTCTGCCAGTCTGCCTGCAAATCTTTGGCACCTCCATATGGATCTTTTAGACACAAGATTGCTCCTAAGAGGAGTATGAAAAAGTTTTGAATTTTTTAAAACAAAAAAAAAATACAAAAAATGCTTAAGCTTTTTTCTGTACGTTTCAGTTCCCTAATCATTTTTCAAAATCTCTTTGGATGGCTCAAAATTGAGGGATAAGGTGGGAGAAATTTTTTGCGTTCGTGAAGAATCACCCATAAAACTTTACAGCAATGGTCGTTAATCTTTTATCCGGATTTCCCTTCAAAAATCGCATTAGTCATAGTTTATCATAAGCTATAGACAGTGGCGGATTTAGCTTGCTTTTGTAATCTAACACCACTGTGCTACTTACTGACACATCATGGCGACAGAAGCATACTAACTGTAAGTTATAGCTATATGAACTGAGCATTGCGATTTTTTGGTATCCTTTGGTATTCCAAATGCTGGCCCTGTTTGAAATCACTTGTTTACAGCACAATTCTTACGATTTATACGTATGTACGAGTATTGTGACTTGTGACAAATCTAAGTCTGGGTACCTAATATATCAGCTGTACAGATTGCACTTAAAAGGTAATTTATGTTCTGTTTGAAGTTTGGGTTTGAGCTCATGAGATATTTTACTATTTAGTACTTTTTTGGCTATTTTTATAGCCTCATCCATGTACTTTTTATTTCAATATGCGTGAAAACGGTTAGGTTATAAAAATTACCAAAAAGTCCACCAAATATTAATCCTGCGAATTTGCCATTTGTTATACGTTTTTACTTCTCGCGCCAATTGGCGGGGAAGTATTTGTAATTGCGAAACATTTCTAAATCAAGATAATACTTTTTTAATGTTTCACGACATGTACATCACAAAACCATGTTCGTTGTTAGCAATATATGGCATAATGTGGTGTGGCAAAATACCGTGACGGCTCGACAACTATTTGGGAATACTTTTCAGAAATGCTTCAAATAAGGGTTGTAGGATTATGCCTCATCTATCGGTCGTTGACCTTGGTTTTTACCTTGACTTTGACCTTGAAGGTTAAAAAAATTTCAAATAATGTAAAGACCTATTATTGATTCGAGTAATGATACTCGCGGAACATTTTAAATTCAAGCATCACCTTGAGCGATCCTTATATTTCACATTGAGTGATCTTCAACGTCAAATCGCCACTAATGGGTAACTCTTCGGGAATTCATTTTAGGGTGAAATACTTCAAATAAAAGTTGTAGGATTAATCCTCAGCTATCAGAAGATGACCTTGGATTCTTCTTTGACCTTGAAGGTCATTTAAAGGTAGAGTTTTAAACGTAGATCCTCATTTTTGACTCCTGCAATGAAATGAGCGAAAAATATTACGTTTAGATATGTCCTGGGGTGACGCTCATATTTCACCTTGAATGACCTCCGGGCTACTAAGGCAAGAATGATAGTCCCGGCCAACTAAGGCAAGGTTAAGAGCCCTGGCCATATGGTAGTAGTTTTACGTTGAGAGATCACTGTTTTCCAAACTACTATGTTCTTTAATTTTACACTTGATATGACTAGGACTATATGATTCACCAATACATAATTTCAATTTTTTAATCATCGCTTGTTTCAGGAAACGGAGAATGAACCGCCATTGATTTGTGCTGCTGGTGAAGGTGAATCTGCAGAGCCCTCTACACTCGCAGCATCGAAGAAATATAGACGCCAGACCAATATGTGTTATTTCTGTGAAACGAACGTACAAAAGTTCAGGAAATATTTTCACATCAAAAGAATTCTGTAGAAAGGAGAAAATTACGTGCACTTTTGAAGAAAAAAGTCAAATTCATAAAAAATTCAGAAGAGTGCGTCAAACCTGTGAAGAAGGCTCGTTAACCAAGTGCATCTTTTCTTCCGTGCGGAAATTGTCTTGGATTTTACAGATCAAAGTTTTTATACAGACACAAAAAAAGTGCTTGGAAGGTCAGTCAGCAAAAATGCTCAAACTGAAACGCAGAATCTTCTCGTAAAAAATAAAAGAATTGACCAAAGATTGAAAGTCGAAGTCTTTCCCAGAATGAGAGCGGACAAAATATCTCTTGAGGCTAAAAATGATTATCTTATTTGTGCCTATGGTGCTAGATATTTGAAAACCCATAGAGAAAAGCATGTTATCAATGTAACGAGTAGAAAAATGAGAGAGCTTTCCAGAATATTACTAGAATTGAAAAAACTGGAGCCAACAATACACAATCTGTTTGATGGCCTGAAACCGAAGCACTATGACCAACTAGTTGAAGCTACAAAATCAGTAGCAAACTACGATACTGTTAATGACACATTTGATTCTCCCACATTTGCCATGAATATAAGTACCGCACTGAAACAGTGTTGTGACATTGCAATACACATGGTTATAAAAAATGAACCATCTTTCAACTGATGGTTCAGCTACTTATGAAGCTAGCCTCAAAACGATGATTAATTTGCTGCAATCAAATTGGAGATTTGATGTCTCTGGCCGCGCTGGCAATGATTTGAACTTGAAAAAATTCAATAAGGTGACTATTGTGCCATTAGCAACAGACCTTAGGCTTTTAAAAAACTACTTGTTGTTGAAAGCAGGAGAGGCAGTGAACAGGTTGGCTAGAAATGCTGCTGATGCGAACGCTTACAATACTCTGCTGGAGACAGTATATTTCAGGGTGAATACTACTGAATAGAAAAAGACCAGGTGAACTGCAAAGGATGTTTCTTCGCACTTATGAGAGTTCTGAAATTAAAAGTGGCGAATATGAAGAATTTGAAGAAGTCATAACCGAGGCGGAAAAACTACTGATAAAAAATCTGAAAAGAGTTGTGATACGAGGTAAAAGAGGCCGTGGCGTACCGGTATTGTTCAGCAACGATGTACAGCTTCATGTCAAAGAATTACTAAAAGTGGGGAATGATTTTGTCCCAAAAGAAAATCCTTACTTTTTTGGCAAACCACGGCTCACCGGGCCAATTCAGGGATATAAAGTAATGGCAAAATATGCTCATGCTTGTGAAGTAAAAAATCCTCAAGCAATTACTTGTACCAGGCTTAGAAAACACCTTGCAACATTGAGTCAACTATTTAGTTTAAACGAAAATGAAATCGAACAGTTGTCCAATTTCATGGGACATACACCTGGGGTACATAAAGACGCATATGGGCTACCCGACGATTTGTACCAGACCGCGAAAATTTCAAAATTGCTAATTCTGATGGAAAATGGAGAAGCTGGTGAAAATAAAGAAAAAGGATTAGAGGAAATAACAGTGGACTTAGAAGAAGATCTATTAGAGGAGAACGGGTGTGATGACGAGGATGGAGAAAATATGGAAAAGGAAGAAGAGGATCAGGAAAAAAAAGAAATAAGAGAAATGTTATCTAATAAAACAGTAGTGTCAGAGCAAAAAGGAAAGAAAACGGAATTACCTGTAGCTGTCAATAAGAAAAAGCGTATTCTTACACCATGGCCTAGTGAACAGAAGGAAGCAGTAACATTCTTCTTTAATAAGAACATAAAGATGAAAAAAGCTCCAAAAAGAAAGGACTGTGAAGAAATTAAAAGTTTGTGCCCCGAGTTGCTAGCCAATAAAGACTGGCTAAAGATTAAAGTTTTTATACAAAATGTGTATTCAAAAAAAAGCAAATAAGTTGTAAAATTTGAATGTGAATGAAAATAAAGAAATCAAGCTCACTTGAGTTTATTTATTTTGACCGCTAGTTGTGCCTAGACTGCTATCAGAGGGTATCATCAGTAAATGTGTGTATTTCTTGTCATAGTTTATGGAAATATTTATTATAAACGTTCATACCACCTTGCGTTGCACTGCTATTTGATAACTTTTTCTTTTACTTATTTTTTCTCCTGATCCTCTTTTTCATCCTCCCTCTTTTCGACATGCTCATTATCAGATATGTTCTGCCCCAAAAGAGCTTGTACTAAATTCACTGTTATTTCTTCTAATTATTTTCCTTTGTTTCCGTTAGCTTATCCCTTGTCCATCAGAATTAGCAATTCAGACATTGATGCATAGGGGCTGCGACTTACATCTCCATCTACCCCTAGTATATGCCCCATAAAATTGGACATCTCTCAGATTTCACTTCCGTTAAATTAAATAGTTGACTCAATTTTGATAATAATAATAATAAACGTCTTTATTATTTAGATTCTGTACAACTGGCGAATTCATGATACGAGTTGTTTTATAAGCCTGGTATAAGTTTGCTTCACAATTGATTGGTTTTTTGCAATTACTTCCAAAATACCGGGAGACCCGTTAGAAATTCATTGGCAGCTCTCCCCCTTTTTTCAGTTCAAAAGTATTCCACTACGAGATATTGTAAGCATTAACATTATAAGCATGTTTAGCCGATATGTTGAGGTGTGCGGCTAGTGGCACAATGGTTATCATATTATTTTCTTCCAAATCTATGTTACCATTACTGCGGCTATATCGTCAAATCTCCACATTGACTGTAATAAGGTATTCATTGTCTTGGGCCTAGGTTGATACAAAGTTGTAATGACTGATGGCTCATTTCATATAACTTCATGTAACTGAGTGTCAAATGTGCCTCTACCGATTTTCTTATAAATTTCTGTTTGATTTTACTTCTTTCAGTATTATTTATACATTCTTCACGTTGGTAGCGCCTTTCTCTGTGAGATATAATCTAAATAATCTTTTTCTTCAAGAAATATTGTGTCTAAAAAGTCATAGTACAATTTGACATATAATAATATCTATTTACCAATAACTTACATGTCATAGATACAAACCAAGTTAATAATTAAGCTGAACTGGAAGATGGTAAATTTCGCAACACTGTCGGAAGCAAAATAACCATTGCTACGTTAAATATACAACTTATGGAACCAAAATAGTTCTACTTACGTACAGATTTATACTGATGGTAGTAATTTAGATTGTCATATAGAGGGAATCAAAATATTTAATTCGCGAAAAAAGTGTATACAGTGTATATTGGTGCCTTCATAATACGGACAATAAAAAGTATATCGGTATAAGCAGAATTCAATGAGGAACCTATATACACATTAAAATGTATGCTAGCGCAATTCCTAACGGTGGACGCAGAATGGTTTGTCTTTGAAAGGAAGCAGTATGGTCTTAAGATGTAAATATATATATATAAATATATATATTCATTCATATATATATATAGGCAAATTTTTTAGGCTTAAGTTGACTCGTTTGACGATAAAATCAAGCTTTCAGCATTCTCTATGGAGCCTTCATCAGGATTCTGAAAACACAATTGTGATGCTAGCAAAGAAGACAGATTTAAATTGTCACTTGTCAATTGTGACAACTTACTCGTCGGTGAGGTTGCAGCCACAAGGTGTTTCAAAACGAACGTAGAGAAGATCGAACTTGTAATCAGCATAAAAACAAAAGGACGGGGACATTGGCCTTGTTGAAAAACGACAGATACCTTCGTTACATGTTAAAAATATCAATTCACTCGAACAAATTAAAAAGTATTACACGTGAGAAGACATTTTGGTGAAAACAATCGGAATGCAGTCTCTAACCTTCTACTTCCGCTACACGTGGAGAGGGGGACGGCACGGAAAGATAAAGCGTCGACAGATGACAAGTCTTATTTTTTTAGCTCCTTATGAACACCTTATAATTCCAGAGCTTGAAATCACTATGTTAAAATGACGAACAGAAAGGCTGCCAATGTTGAACGATTTTGTGTATTGAGTGGCTTATAACTCAACAATCAAGCATCAAAACGTTATATGACACATCCATCGTTATCTTCTTTCGGAAGGGATTTTGACAATCCCTTAAAATAAAATATTCCATATTGTATTACATATTCCGACAGGTCCCTCCACGAGAAAGATATTGAAATAACATGTTAGAGCGCTTTAATGATTGATAAGCGACTCAATGTACCAAAATGCTCAACTTTGACAGGCTGCCGGTTCGCTGTTTTCAGAGGTGATAATTCTTTTAGCTAGAATTATAAAATACTCAGGAGCAGCTTCAAGACCAGATATTACCCGACCCCGAATTCCATTTAAAAAATATTGCAACATGGCACCCAGCCGCCATCCTGAAATTTTCAATTGAGGCTTTTACGCTAAAAGATGGTATAAATTATATTATAATTTTTCCATTAATTTCATTGCCACGAATTTAAGCCTGTTAACTTTGCTCGTTCAAGGTATAAGTACGGGGACCCCAGCAAGTTTTTCTCTAGTTACGTTATCACAATTAGTCTAATCTTATTAGACGAAAATACCCAGCATAATAAAAAAAATATATCAGCAAGGTAAACGCGTGTATTTTGCTATTAAATGCTCTTAGAACGAAACCTGTATATTGCTCAATCAACAAGTAGTTGCGTGAAATTATCGTCGGATTACCAACAAGTGCCAAAACCTGCATTTTGCCTCGTTTTTCGGCCATAACATTTTTGCTATTAGTCGGATCTTTTGATCTGTGCTCTCATTTTGTAGGTCTCATAAATACCTAAAATCTTATATAAAAAGTTTTCCGTCCCTGTCAACACTTTCGATTAAATAAAAAAAACACGTTTTCTTATCCTTTGTTGTCAAATAAAAGGATTTACCACAAAAATTGGTGTACCCATTTTATGCGACCATGTTTTGAATACACCCTTGAACAACTTGCAACAATAAAACCAGACTTTCGGGGAAACTTGCTAATCTAAATAGCCTAAAGTCTTGCGCGATGAAGGCCCTTGAAATTTTTATGGCGCTACAACGATACAGAAAATTTTTATTTAATCGGATGGTACAAAAAACATATGAGAATATTTTCGAGCGGATGCGAAGTTATGAATGGTTCCTAGACTATAAATGAGGGTCCATTTTCGCAGAAAAATTTGAAACGTTAGCTCAAAACAGCGTTGTTTACAAATATTCTAAATAGATCTGAAATGAAAACAATGCAAAATGATCGTACCTTTCTTATTATGACACGACAGAAATCGTACTTACTTTGTATACAGAGTGATTTCGACACAGTTGTCTATGCCGACCCTTGCGCTTAAGCCTTGCTTAGTTTTGCCTGAATCACAGGTACATTTTTTCTTCGGTTTTTCTACTTTATCGTTTTGCGCATTGAAATACTCCATGTAAGCTTTAGTTATGTCTGACTCCACCATTTTGAAAAACATAACTGTGAAAAATTGATAGAATTAATCCAGGAAAATCCACAAAAGTGATTGAACAATCGGGTGTGTCACCATGTACGGAGAAAAAAAGGAAGAATTATTTACAAACAAAAGTTACATTTTGATGAAAACATTAAGATTGTACAAAAACAATATTTTTAGACATGCATTGTAGTATATGTGTAAGCAGTCCAAAATGATACAAAAATGAATTATATTACTTTTACTTCCCACGGCACTGGCTGGGAAACATGGTGGTCACGAAAATTTTCTAAAACGATATATTGTTTTTTTTCTTGATATTATGTGACGTTTCTTGGTAGGCTGTGAGTCTGTCGGTGTGTCGATCTGTCGGTCTGTCGTGAAGATAGAAAAAAACAGTTAAGTCGTCATTTACAAAAGCATCACAGAAGCCTAAAGTAGTATGTACTTCTAATACCCAAATATTGCTAAAATAAATAACTATTTCCTCTCTAGCTGTGTTTCAGTGACGGCACCACGGCAGACCAGTTGGAGACTGTTCCCTATTGCAATGTCGGTAGTGGCCTCCACAACGATGCAGCATCACGCCAACGATTGCCAAGTTATCTAGAATTATGCATATTATATATTGGACCTTTGTCATTGAATTGTCCCAGACCCGAATCGGAATCTTCTTAATGATATAATGTCTTTAACTGATACCAAGGACGTTACATTTTTAACTGCCTACCCCCTACAACCTCCAGACCCCCAAGTTTCAACCCCTACAAAACATTTTCTGTAAATGATCAGGAGCCTCTGAAACGTCGAAAAGCTAAGTTTAAGCAAATTTAATTTTTTTCGTGCAGCTGCTTTCAAAAACTATAAAGCTTTTTCATCCTTGACACAGTAGTAACCGTGTGTGAAAATTTGCTCAAAATCTGAGCGGTACTTCCCGAGTAATAGGTGGTTATAGAATTAGACAGACTGAAAGACCAACAGACCGACAGACAGATCGGCAGAAATAAGTAACATGGTTTTTCGTAATGTACAATCATATAACATGCAAAAACATAATATCTACGATTTCGAAATTTTTCGCGATTGCAATACTTTCTCGCCAGTTGCTCTCAATGAGGTTCAAAGAGCAACATTTTTGAGATTCAATTGTATACTTTTTGGATCTTTTAGTCAAAAGATTTTTGCAGATCCAGGTTCTTAGGAAATAGTGTGACGAAGAAAATGCAAGTGATTTTATAGTTTTACTTAGATTCACCCTCTTGGAAAAAGCTCCAATTTGATTCTTTTAAAACCTCGGTACGACCATTCCTTGCAGAGATATCGAATTTTCACCGTACCGAAAATCTAAGGTGGTTTCTAAAGTTGGAATAGATTCTCTGAAAGGATCAAGGATCAAAAAAAATTATTCACCCTTCATATGGGTTGGAAAAAATAGGGGAAAAAGAGGTGTTTTCTGATTTCCACAGTTTGTTTACAGAAAGCGTTAAAATTTTTGGAGTATATTTCTCAAATATTTTAGCACTTTTGTAAGAAAAATGTGGAAATGTTTTTGACATAAGTGTTTAGCAGCAATAAACATGTCCTTTTTTTATTCAAGGCAAAAGAACGACTGGGTTGTGGGTGTATAATTGGTAAAAGTCACAATCAAGATTCTGTCAAAATTTAAAATTTAGCCCTTGTCATCTAAAAAAACATCTATGAAGGACGAATAAATGTTTTTACATAATGGATACCTAATCCTTTCAGATAATGCAAACTAACTTTTGGAAGCACCCTTAAATGTTAATTAACGATGGTTGCTTTCTAAGATATCGATTATCAAAGCTAAAAGGGTAATTTTTCAAAAAAAAAAAAATTCGATATCCCAGCAAGAGATGTCCATATTGAGGTTTTGGAAAAAGCAAATGGTACGGGATATTGAGTCCATGTAATGATTTGGCCAATCATTCTTCCAATGCCGTGGATCTGAGTACAAATTCAAAAAAGCCTGAAACGTTTTTATCCACACTGTTTCCTGGGATTGCGTGGAATCTTTAGCTTCCAAGAACTTTTGACTAAAAGATCCATTAACTTGAAGCATTTGAAGCTCAAAATTGCTCTCCTTATATCGTGAAAATGACCATTTTTTATTGAGATACAGCACCTCAAATAATTAGTAAAAATATACCATTTTTATTTGATTCCTCAATTTTTCCATTATTGTAAAAACACTTTGTAAAAACCTAATACTGCTACTTACCTGTTATGAAGAAAAGGCTGATCAAAAAGTTCATCTTCTACAATTTATTGAACAACTGCTAATGACATATCCACGAAAATTATTGGCTTTTATCAGCTGTTATATAGATGTAGGTTCAACAATAAAAATTTGTTTCATAGCTGAGCGATGATTTTTCAACCATTTAAATTTTTTCAACTCGATACAAAGAGCGAATGTACAAATTCTTGACAGTTAGTCATCACAATGTTTCGTGTATCTGCATTCAACGACGATAACAAAACATAATGCAGAGTTAGCACATTTCCGTGTTTGGTGATTCTGCGTATTCACAGCAAACGATTAGGACATCGTCTATGAGGTTTCAACAAATTAATATCCTGAGTATGACTTATACTAAGTGACATATAAACCCGAACACCCAGTTTAAATGGTTTTATTTTAATAAAATTTTGTATATACTAAGTGACATATAAATCCGAACACCCAGTTTAAATGGTTTTATTTTAATAAAAGTTGGTGAATGTATTTATCTTACTGTAAATAACAAGTGAAAAAATTTTCAGCCTTATCAGTTGGACAATCCGGTTTTTATACTGCTTTTTTTTAATTCACTAACGCTCTAAAAATGAATATGTCAGAAGCAGTAAAGAATCAACGTTAGCGGATTTTGGTTTTTGACATCCTTTACGATCGGTTACGATGCCTAGAGTACGGAGACCTGTACGATTTCGTCAACTTAGTGAGTTTGATAGGGGCCGTATAGTGGGACTTCGGGAAGCTGGACTTTCTTTTCGGGCAATTGCAGTTAGAGTGCAAAGAAGTGTAGACACTGTGGTTAGGTGTTGTCAGGCATGGCTTCGAGAAGGCCGTACGCAAAGAGCAAGAGGCACTGGACGCCGCCGTAGAACAACAGACCGTGAAGATCGCCGCCTAAGATTATTGGCCTTAAGGGACCGTTTCTCCACTACCAGGTCCATTGCAAATGAATGGTTTGCAGAACACGGAAGACCTATTGGCATGCGAAGTGTTTACCGACGAATGAGAAGTTTTGGCTTGTTTTCATACTGGCCACACTGGGTCCTCCGTTTAACTCGAGAACATCGACGTAATCGCGTTGAGTGGTGCAGACAACGGTCACTCTGGGATCAGGAATGGAACAGTATTGTCTTTAGTGACGAGTTTCGATTTTGTTTAGGCATGCACGATGGTCGTGCCAGGGTTAGAAGGCGACGTGGTGAAAGGAGGAATCCACAGTTTTTTGTTGAAAGACATGGTCATCACACTGTTGGAGTTATGGTTTGGGGTGCTATAGCTTATGGTTCCAGGTCACCTTTAATCTTCATCAGAGGAAACATGAATGCGCATATGATGGGTAGGAGATTGCTCAATTTGCAACGTCCTCCTCAGACTCTAGAAGCACTTCGAGAGGAGTTTTTTTTTTGAAATAATTTATTTAAACACAATAATACAAAAAGTACAACCAGCTTTAACAATAATTCCCCAATCAGTGTTTGCAAACACTGGCCCCGAGAATAACAAGACAATAATTAATATCTAAGAACTACAGGTAAATGTGGTTGCCTGGAATGAGATACCACAGGAGGACATTGACCACCTGATCAGAAGCATGCCTAGGCGCGTTGGAGAATGCGTAGCACATCAGGGTGCATCCACACATTATTAGAGGTCAAAGGGCTTTAAATCAGTGCAATCATTTTGAAATTTTTATCATTTACTTATTATGCTTCATTAAGTACTTATACAAAATTTTATTAAAATAAAACCATTTAAACTGGGTGTTCGGATTTATATGTTACTTAGTATAAGTACTTAATGAAGCATAATAAGTAAATGATAAACATTTCAAAATGATTGCACTGCTTTAAAGCCCTTTGACCTTTAATAATATGTGGATGCACCCTGATGTGCTACGCATTCTCCAACGTGCCTAGGCATGCTTCTGATCAGGTGATCAATGTCCTCCTGTGGTAACTCATTCCAGGCAACCACCAACTCCTCTCGAAGTGCTTCTAGAGTCTGAGGAGGACGTTGCAAATTGAGCGATCTCCTACCCATCATATCCCACACGTGCTCAATTGGGGATAAGTCGGGAGATCTTGGTGGCCATGGTAATAATGTGATATCATTATGTTGAAAGAAGTCTATTGTGACTCTTCCAACATGTGGTCGGGCATTATCTTGTTGGAAAGTTGGATCTGCCAGGGTGTCAAGATAGGGTAAAAGATGGGGTTCTAGAACTTCGTGGATATAACGCTGCACGTTCATGTTACCTCTGATGAAGATTAAAGGTGACCTGGAACCATAAGCTATAGCACCCCAAACCATAACTCCAACAGTGTGATGAACATGTCTTTCAACAAAAAACTGTGGATTCCTCCTTTCACCACGTCGCCTTCTAACCCTGGCACGACCATCGTGCATGCCTAAACAAAAACGAGACTCGTCACTAAAGACAATACTGTTCCATTCCTGATCCCAGAGTGACCGTTGTCTGCACCACTCAAGGCGATTACGTCGGTGTAAGGGTTAGAAGGCGACGTGGTGAAAGGAGGAATCCACAGTTTTTTGTTGAAAGACATGTTCATCACATTGTTGGAGTTATGGTTTGGGGTGCTATAGCTTATGGTTCCAGGTCACCTTTAATCTTCATTAGAGGTAACATGAACGCGCAGCGTTATATCCATGAAGTTCTAGAACCCCATCTTTTACCCTATCTTGACACGCTGGCAGATCCAACTTTCCAACAAGATAATGTCCGACCACATGTTGCAAGAGTCACAATAGACTTCTTTCAACATAATGATGTCACATTGTTACCATGGCCACCAAGATATCCCGACTTATCCCCAATTGAGCACGTGTGGGATATGATGGGTAAGAGATTGCTCAATTTGCAACGTCCTCCTCAGACTCTAGGAGCCCTTCGAGAGGAGTTGGTGGTTGCCTGGAATGAGATACCACAGGAGGACATTGACCACCTGATCAGAAGCATGCCTAGGCGCGTTGGAGAATGCGTAGCACATCAGGGTGCATCCACACATTATTAAAGGTCAAAGGGCTTTAAAGCAGTGCTATCATTTTGAAATTTTTATCATTTACTTATTATGCTTCATTAAGTACTTATACAAAATTTTATTAAAATAAAACCATTTAAACTGGGTGTTCAGATTTATATGTCACTTAGTATATTAAGCGACACATCAGTTTGCTCTCCGTATACAAGTTATCATATTATTTTCTGAAAAGTGACTGCCCGGTCCGATGGCGTATATCTCTGTCGTTGACACATTGAACTTTGTTAACAATTGCCCCTAATGTGCTTTGGGCTTGGGTGTTTGAAGAATATTTAGTGACCTTGACATGGTTTTGTACTATTTTCCAGGCTCAAAAATGGCATATTTCGCACTTTTTCAAATATCAAATCGCTTACATATCGAAAACTATTAAAGTTTATAAGAACTGTTTTTATTCGGAAACAAAAAATCTAAGAAAAGCTGTATCCGGAGCAAAAACGAATTCGCTTGAAAAAACTATAAGTCAATTTTCGACGCAATTTTGTGCAGATTCGTCGAAAGGGGTCCACTTTGATTGAGATTGTCCAAAAAAACGAATCAAAACATTTTGGAGAATGCGAAGATACGTTCTGGACTATATTACCGTCTTTAATAGACAATTAACAAGTACATTTTCCTTAAATACAAAAAGCCCAATTGCAGTAACTGAAAATTTTCAATTACGATATCAAGACAAATCTAATGACACCTCAAAACTCAAAATCCCTCAAGCCGTTTGGTCAGAATAAAAATTTCAAGGTTGAATTTGAATATAGTCGATTTTGGTTTTATGAGATTTTGGTATACCCATTACATACGACTAGAGATAGAAGGTTACACTCATCAAAAGCCAAAAATGTCAACGATGAAGTGAGTTTTTGTACACTTGTACCCTGCGCAGCAAATGATATTCAGGTGCTGCGCATAGGGCATCTCTCTCGTGTGTACACTGCACATAAAATGAATTTCAGGTTCTGCGCATGTGGCATCTGTCTCTGTTGCTGACATCATGACGGTAAATAACTCCAATTTTGACAGTTTGGATGCATTTCAAACAGGATATTAATAAACCATAAGGTGATAAACCAACAAAGCATGGCAAAAAGTTAGTGAAATGCACATAGATATTGTGGCAGGTTATGTTGTCATTTTTTAATGCGCAGGCACTCTGCGCCATGTTCTACGCCCATTAGGTTTATGAGAGCTACCCCTTCCTTGGCGACAGGGTTGGCTTCATGCGAATACGTGTATTATTTAGGTAGCTTAACCTCATATCTCCAGTCTACGTGAGCTAGTGCTACTCTAGCCGTCAAGATAAATCTGGAGAAAGAAATACATCGAGCCGTTTCAGCCGTAGCCTCTGAAATAGGGTATATAATAGGAAAGTTGACTTTTTGATTAAAATACGACATTTAGTTTTTATTTAATTTTAATTTATTCAATGCCACTCGCACTGCTCAGATTAATCCAGCAACATCTCATATGTCAAAATCCACCAAGCTGTTTGGCATGTAGCCTGTGAAATAGATTTTTTGGGTACCTAGGAGGTCTGTAAATGAACTGATGCGACTGGCAACGTAGCGTTCGATTTGGCAACACTGGAGGCGCCGGGTTTGGAGGGGAGACAACATGTGATCTGCCTTCAGTACAAGTTTGAACTCGCTAGAGTACCTATTTGGTTGACCGTAGCGATGTTTTCATGAAATAGTTTTTTCTAACGTATTCTAAAAATGAGTGACATCAATTTCAACAGTGTGCTATCAAGTTTTGCTTTAGACTTGGGCACAGTGCAATGGAAACTCTTACTAAACAGACCTACGGAGTTTTTTATCAATCGCTCAGGTTTTTCAGTGGTTTAATTCATTTTCAGAAGGAAGAGAGTTGATTGAAGATGAACCACGAAGCGGAAAGCCGATTAAGATATCGACAGAATCTGCGATCTTGCGCGTTCAGATCGTCGGTTGATAGTCAGAATGATCGCGGAATAGTTAAATTTGACTCACACCATCGTTCATCAGATCAAGAACAACTGGGTGTTGCATCACGATAATGCTCCTTGTCACACAGGAATGGCAATAAGCGAGTTTTTGGCCAGTAAAAACATCCTGTGGCTCCTCAGCCTCCTTATTTTCCTGACTTGAGCCCTTGTGACTGTTTTTTCTCCCTGACGCTTTTTTTTTTTTTATATCGAAACAACCGCGCAGGCAGAAGCCTAAATGCCGGAACACCGCGGCTGCTATAATGATCCCAAAGAAATTTTGTTAATACGATTTTTGAACTG